CATATGATCCACCGTCTATGATTCCGAGTGCCTACCAATGTGCCACTCTCCTGTCCCTTCACACAGTCCCATCACTTCTCTGTGCCTCAGTTTCCTCCTCAAACAGGGGTTGACAGATCCACCCCACCTACTACATCAGGATTGTCTGGCAAATGGAACCAGATAATCTATGTAAATTGCTCAGCTATGAAAATCTGTACCAAGGTTACTGATGTTGTCTTTGTTATTTATGTATCTTAATATAACAATAATGAATAACTGCAGTCCTCTCCTCTGCAGCCACAGCAACTTGCACACAGTAGGTGTTTAATTGCTGTCTGATGCAATGAAATGCAGTCCCAGTGACGGTCATGACTTTTCAAGCCTTGGGGAACAGCGCCATCCCGTGGCCAGAATTCAAAACACGTGGACCTTCTAATAAACAGGCACCAACCAGGCCTGGTGGGGGCTGCTGAGAACCCCATAGAGGTCTTTTTAGAACAAATGCAAGAACAGTTCGTCTGACACCACAAAACAAGGAGAAGTTTCTTCACCCCCAGAGATGGTACAGACTCAGAGTATAAATAGTTTCAATAAGGGATTAAAGCAGCACACTGGATTATTTCTCCATAACGGGGTCTTTGGGAGAACTGGAGTCTCCAAGAAGTGGTCCACCCTTGTGCTCAAGTGGTCTGGCCTGACCCTGTGGATGTGGACACAGCTGCTCGTCCTTCATCTAGAAGACTTGAACTTCACCCTGCTACTCACAAGCGGTGTGACCTTGAGCAAACCACTGCCCTCTCTGGGCTCCAGTTTTCCCATCTGTGCAATGAGGTTATCATCCCTGCATTGGCCACCTCAGAGAATAGTTGTGAAGGTCAAATGGGATAAGAAAAGCACAACTAGTTTATAAATGGTAAAATGCTATACAAACATGATAAATGGTTATTAGTATAGTATTTCCAAAAATAGTAATAATTGGCATTTACTGAGCTTCTCACTATGCTAGACCCTTTACCATATCTTACTTGAGTTCCTCAAAATGATATAAATACTTTCAGGAAGCCCATTTTGCAAATGAGAACACTGAGGTTTAGAGAAGTGTGAAATTTTCCCCAAAGACACACTCAACCTATCCAGAGGAAAGCCAAGATTTGAACTCAGGACAGAGGGACCTCAAGTCAACAATGTTATATCATCTAAATAGTTCCACCGAAAAGGGACTTAAATGTAGCCCTGATACACAGCGGTAAGTGTCTTGAAGGAAATAAAAGAAATATTGACATTTCTCTTCTTTTTCTCAGGAAATTCTGCTTCCTTCCCATCTCTATCTCAGCAACTCCTTTGACCTTGGGTCCTCCAGGAAGAGGGGAGCTCTTGGGCCCTGCACCCAGGGTCCTGCGTACAGCCAAGGTCAGAGAATTCCAAAACAATCCCTTCCTGGGTCCAAACCTGGAAAGGGTCATGCATGTGCCCATAAGGAACTGGCAAAAACAGATGGGGGGACAGATCCCAAATCCAGGTCCCTGTTGAACAGATGGTACCAAAATCTGTTGGGAGAAGGTGGCTATTTTTCAATAATCGTAATGACCCTCACATGTCTGGAGTCTTCTGGGGCTTATGAGTGTCCCTTATCCATTTTCTCATTATTTGACCCTCAGAACATGCCTTTGAGATCAGAATCCATAGCCCTAGGTTACAGATAAGGAAGCTGAGGTTCAAAAAGATTAAATAACTTGTCCAAGGTTATGTGCCAGTAAGTGGCAGAGACGGGACTCCAGTTCAAGATTCCAGAGCACAAATTCTCTGACTCCGAGGACCATGACTATTTCTGGTGCCGGTCCTGGTTCTGGCCCTGCTTGTGCCATCAGCTGGCTGGGTGAACTCAGACAAGCCACTGAGCCTTGGTTGCTTTATGTCCAGAGATCCCTGCCAGCTCTGACTGTCCTTTATTCACGTCCTTGAGCCATAACGACGAGGGTGTTCAGCAGCATCCGAAGGCTGTACAGAGAAGCAGCTGTGACTGCCTCCCTTGGGAAGCTTTTCCGGACTGCCCAAGGCTGAGTTATCATCGGCGCTGTGCTCCCCCCGCACTCACAGCACTGCATCGTCATTCATCTGCCAGTTCCCCAGGGGCCAGGCAGGAAGGTCAGATGTGATGCGGTTGGGAGGAGCAGGGCCTATGGCAAGTAGAGGGCCCCTGGCCTGGGGGGCAGTTTCTATTCAGCTCCAGCTTCTTATCATCACGCAACGAAGCCAGCCCAGTGTTGCCAGATCTTAAGAGAAGTCAACAGATCTGGATATTTATGTAAAATCTGCTTTTTAAATGTAGACAATACATAGTTCATTAATTACTTCATAGGTATTGCAGCCCCTGGATTAGCCACACCTGTTTTCCCACTAGACTTCGGACCACTTGAGAACATTGCTGGGTCTCTCTGAACCCTTAGTGCCAGCTCAGAGCCTGCATCCCCATAAGTGACCGGTGATTGCTTTTTTTAAAAATATATTTTTAATTGATTTCAGAGAAGAAGGGAGAAGGAGAGAGAGATGCAAATCAATGATGAGAGGGAATCATTGAGAGGCGCCTCCTGCATGCCCCACGCTGAGGATCAAGCCTGCAACCCAGGCATACACCCTGACCGGAAACCGAACTGTGACCTCCTGGTTCATAGCTCAATGCTCAACCACTGAGCCACACCGGCTAGGCCAGTGATTGCTTTTGAAATGTTGCAGATCTTGTCCCAGTCAAAGCCCCCACAGGCCTCTGGTGACCCTGCTAATCAGACTGGCATGGATTAAGGGTTTACTGCTTTAAACACTTTACATAGTACCTGACTGAAATCTCACGACATACATACTCTGATCCCATCCATTTTTCAGGCAAGGAAGCCAAGACTCAGAGAGTTGCACGACTGGCCCAAGTGGTACCTAGGATTCCAATTCAGGCAGTCCCTCTCCACAGGTCTCATACTGCCCCATGAGACCCCCTTAAATATCACCGGCGGTCACTCGGCCCCAACAAGGATCCCCAGGCAGCCGCATGCATGGTTACCAGTCCTAAGGACAGTGGGAGCCAGGGCATGTGGCACAAACAGAGAAAAGAACATCTGTGCTGCAGAAAGTGGACCTGGCGTTCAGGGAGGGCACCTTCCAGCCTGTGACTGCACTGCCAGATCAAGCCAAAATCAGTGTTTACCTCTGTCCCCAGGACACCAAAACCCAGCTTCCATCCGAAGAAAATGGATAGAGAGACAGAAAAAGCCAAGGAGAGGCCTGGGTATTGCTCATCCCATCAAAAAGCCAAGCATTCTCTAAACTAGCTAAATGGTTCCAAAGGAAATGGGAGTCTATTTTGTGTCCTGTCACCAGGGCTGCAAGTCCTGATATATCTCAGGCCACAGAGAGAAGTGGATGGCTCAGCACTTGGAGAGATGCCCGCACGAGGCAGGAAGTGGGGTGGATGATTCAACAGGTACCTCTCTATTCTGAGAACTGATCCTGTGATGGGTGAGTGTACATCCAGCTGAGATGAAAAATAAATTTGAATGCCGACCATTGGAATATACAGCAAGCCTCCCTTTCTTCCAGGGCGCTTGAAGCATCCTTTGGGGCTTTAATCCTTAAAAGTTTTCTATTTTTAAGAATTTACTGGGGCGATGAGGCTCTTGGGAAGCTGGGGTGGGCTGGTGACTCAAAGGCTTCCCTTCCTACCCACACACCTCCAACAAGATGCTAAAGTACTGAGGTTGCATGCAGTCTGCCTGGGGCACCACATCCCCCACCCTCAGTCTCTCTCATCTGTAAAACGGGGGCAGTGATCCCCACATTGCTGAGAAGGGAACGTTTGGGGCTCAATGTGTTTTACAACTTTGGATTTCAGAAGGTCTCATGGTAGCCCTACCGCATTGTATGTAATATGTCCAGCGAACTCTGGGACAGTACTCCATAAACCCGTTAATTTTTCCACAGCAAATGTATAAATAGTCACACCAAGTGGGGTAAAATAAAGACTATAAAGAACCTCACTTTCAATTCACATCAAGTGGTTTTCAGAGCGTTTGGGGATCTTAGAATTTGTATGAGGGCCAGCTTTGGCTCCAGGCACACCTGGGTTTCCATCCCAATTGCACCTTTACCAGCTGGCTGACCTTGAACAAGACATAAATCCTCACTCAGTTTAGTTTTCTCATCTATAAAATGGGACTATAATCCCTTTGGTGGTTTTTAGGAGGCTCATGAGGAGATGCAGGTGGCTGCACTGGAAGGGGTGCTGGCCACAAGGACAGGTGCCCAGGAGGAGGCCTTGGTGAACCCATCACAGTTTGAGGTATGTCTACACACAAGGCAGAGGCAGATTCCCTTTAAACAACCTTGTAAGGCCGATGCACAAACAGAAGATCCATTTACTAAGGGAGAGCACAAGAAATCCAACTGGCAGCAGGACGGGGCATTTCTGTCCGCCTAACCAGCACAGAATTCCCTGCAGTAAAAGCTCCATGATGATTCATGTCTCACAGGGCTCACTAGTTGGAGGAAGGCAGAACAAGGGACAGCATTAGTCTGAAGAAGCATTTCTCAGCAGAGGCAACTTGAGGGGACAGCTTGCCCAGGAAATGGGAATGATGCTCCGGCCAGTACAGCCAGGAACCTGCTCCCTGGACAATGCCAGTCTCTGGCTCTGTGACTCTCCCCTTTCTCTACTCCCATTCACGCCTCCATTCCTTCTAATCAGGTTTTCCTTGGACAGCCAGTCACATTCCAGACCTCCTCCCAACCACACTTCCTCAGAAACTCTGCCTGGCATCTGATTGGCCCAAACTCTTCAGTCACGTATTTGCAGACAACCAACTGATGGCTCCTAGAAAAGGCCGGTTTACATCTGTGGCAGATTTGATGCTCCTAAGGTGGCCACAGCCACATCTCTCCCTCCACATGCTCTTCTAGAGCCTGTGCCTGAGCTCTGGGCAAGCTTTCAACTTGCTGGTAACCAACAGAAGGGGCAGAAGTGATGTGCGTACCTTCTGAGGCCAGATCGCAGAACGCCGTTCAGCTTCCAGCTTCTTAGCCAGAATACTTGCCCTGGAAGTCTTCAGCTCCCGTGGAAGCGCTGTAGTGTGGCTGTCCTGAGGTCGCCATGTTGTGAGGAAGCCCAAACTCTCCGTGAGAGAAGCCCTAAGATGAAATGGGGAGAGAGAAAGGTCTAGCCAGCCACCAGCCACTCCAGCCGCATCCACATCCAACAACAATGGCAGGAGAGATCCCAGGCCAGCACCACCTAGTCAAGCCCTTCCCAAATTCCTGACCACAGAAACCAAGAGAGATAATAGTAACAGGATTGTTGTTGTTTTAAGTTGCCACGTTCTGGGGGGATGTTACGCAGCAAAAGATAACCAGACACGGGGCAATTTTACATCCCTTCTCTGTAGGGTGGCCACAGCTCCCAGTTCGCATGGAACACTCCCAGTTTACACCTCTTGTCTGGTATAATTAATGTGGTAGCGATGCCTTCCTCTCCCAGAAGCACCTCGGTTTGGATAGTAGATTATATAGTCACCCTACATTTGGCCAAGTTCTTAGAGCACCCTACAAATCCTGGCAACAACCCTCCACCTCACAGTCTAGAACAGCCGTGGGCAAACTACGGCCCGCGGGCCGGATTCGGCCCGTTTGAAATGAATAAAACTAAAAAAAAAAAAGACCGTACCCTTTTATGTAATGATGTTTACTTTGAATTTATATTAGTTCACACAAACACTCCATCCATGCTTTTGTTCCGGCCCTCCGGTCCAGTTTAAGAACCCATTGTGGCCCTCGAGTCAAAAAGTTTGCCCACCCCTGGTCTAGAATAATCAATGTAAGTGAGGTGCCTCGTGTATAGGGAGCATTTGAGAAATTGATGCTTGTTCCCTTGTCCCTTCCCCTTCTCCCAATTCCATTGTCTGTATGCTCATCAGTTTTTCCAAGAGATGGCTCAGGCTCAGTGCCCACACAACCTCCAGAATGCTTTCCCCCAATAAACGTACAACCTCGGTAAAAACAGGACGTCTGTTATGCAATTGCAGCTTCAAAATAAGCCCAGGGCTCCCCCTTTTCACCAGATAGCTGTCACTGAGCCCCTCTCATGAGGAAATTCTGGATTTCTCCCTCCCGTGGAGAAGTCCCAGGAGGAAAAAGGGACCTCTTCAAACCTCAGGAAAGCCCTTCACCACCCATAAGGGTGAAAGCTTTTGAGGACACAAAACCACTCTCCATTCCTGACTCAGCAGCTCACTCATTGGGCTAAGTCAGTGGTCGGCAAACTGCGGCTCGTGAGCCACATGCGGCTCTCTGGCCCCTTGAGTGTGGCTCTTCCTAAGCCTTAGGAGTACCCTAGTTAAGTTAATAACAATGTACCTACCTATATAGTTTAAGTTTAAAAAATTTGGCTCTCAAAAGAAATTTCAGTCGTTGTACTGTTGATATTTGGCTCTGTTGACTCATGAGTGTGCTGACCACTGGGCTAAGTACCCAACCATCCTGAGCCTGATTCTCCCCACCTGCATCAATGGAAGGGTTGATGCCTCTCTCAGAGAACTCTCAGAAATAATTAAAGAGATGAATGTTTATGTAAAGCACTAGCACAGTGCCTGACATACAGTTGGCACTCAATAAACACTACCTCCCTTGTTAAGACATTGGAGGTTCCTATTAGAAAGTGCATTTGCTTTATCTGGAAGGGACAGGAAGGGAAGACTAGCATAAAAGGCTGATCAGAAATCAGTAATACTGGTGCCTCTCACTTCTAGACATGACATGAGAGGATGTATATGGAGGGCCTGGCAGGCACCTATGAGTCTCCCTCAGCTAGATGAGAAGATCTTTGAAGACAAGAATCTCATATACATTATATACGCAAGGTCCTGTTGCAAAGGGGTGGCTCTGGGTAATGCCAGTTGAATGATCTCATACCAATTTTGATCCATTTATTCACTGACTAAGTCAATAAATTCTTATTGGGCACCTACTCTATCAGGCACTGTTCCAGCAACTGGGAAAACAGGCCCTATCCCCATCCCACCAGGTGCTCCAAGTGATGGAAGAGACATACATGGATCAAATAAGTGCACAAGTAATCACTTAACTTTCAGTGCTCTGAGTGTCAGAAAGGGGAAGCACAGGGAACCTGGTATGCGGTGGGAGGGAAGGCATAGCCTAGGAAGTGACATTAGACCAAGAGCTGAAAACTAGTCGAAGAGAATGTAGAGATTTGAAGATGGCGGCATAGGCAAATGCCTATACTCGCCGCCTCCCACAACCACATCAAAATTACAACTAAAATACAGAACAACCATCATTCAGAACTGCTGGAAAGCTGACTGAGTGGAAGTCCTACAACTAGAGAAGTAGAGAAAGCACTGAGACTGGTAGGAGGTGCAGAGGCACTGAAAGGGCTGGTCCGGCACCCACATGGGCTGCTTTTTTAATGGGGAGGGAGATCATCTCTACAGAGGCCACCCAGAGGAGCAAGGGGTCCCAGTCCCATACCAGACCCCCAGCCCAGAGTCCCAGAGCTGGGAAAAGAAGTCCCTATGGGCACTAAGAACTATGGCTGTAAAAACCAGTGGGGATTGGGGTTCAGTGACACAGAGGCTGCTGGAAACCCAGCTGTTCCTCTTAAAAAGCAGGCACCACAAAATGAACTTACAAGGTCCTGCTTCCTCTGAGCTCCAGCCCCAGGGCAAGGCTCTGGGGAACACAGACACATACGAGGAGGAGCTGGATTATCTGGCATCAGGGCAGGAACTCAGGGGCAGCTTTCTCCCAGATAGAGGTGCTCGTAGGGATCACTGTTCATATGGTGGGGCCACCCCAGTCGCAGGGCTGACTAGCAGCCATTTCTCTTTGCTCCACCCAGGTGGACCCTAAGACCCCGCCTCATCCAATTTACAACCCCACCCAAGCTGTGTGCATATGAATGGCCTGTCCTTGCTCAGGCTGAAATCTTTCAAACAAGCTGAAGCTGGGTCAGGGAGGCCCAAACCTATTAATAAAAGGCCTAAGACCTGGCACCAATACCAGCCTGCCTTGCTTCACAGCTGGGCCTCATCTGGGCACTTCCAAACCCGATACAAAGAGGAGGGATCTGCAGAACTCTCTGTAGCTCCTACTGGGTGGCCCCAGGCAGTGGCTGACTTTGCTTCTCCCTGGACACCCAAGTGTTACCCAGTGGTCAGTATCAATCCATACCAGATTACAACTCTATACATCCATAAGTGACACATTCAAGGGACAGACTCAGTGAACACCAAAGCCCCACCAAAGCAAGTCTTTCTCCATAGGGGTGTCTCCTGCACAGCAGCTCTCCCACTGTAGTTGCAGCTGGTCCTCGCAGCCAATTAACCTGGAGGTCAATTCCTCCCAGTGACACCAACAGCAATCAAGTCTCAACTACAACAAGACTGTGCTCACAGCCCACAAAAGGGTACGCCTAGAGCTCCCAGCTCAGGTGACTGGGGAGGCTGAGCCACTGGGCCCTATAGAACATCTACTAGACAAGGCCACTTTACCAACTAAAGGAGACCAAGCAGCTCTACCCAGTACATAGAAACAAACTCAGGGAAGCAGCCAGAATGCAGAGACAAAGAAACATGTCACAAATGAAAGAATGGAGGAAAGCAAACTACTGAATATAGAGTTCAAAACCATGGTTATAAGGTAATAAAGAATAATATACAGGGATTCAACAGTAGAGTAGAGGATTCTGAGAATCAAATCAACAATTTGAAATATGAGGAAGCATAAAACACTGAACCAGAAGAGCAAAAAGAACAAAGAATCCAAAAATATGAAGATAGTGTAAGGAGCCTTTGGGACAACTTCAAGCATACCAACATTCGCATTATTGGGGTGCCAGAAGAGAGAGAGCAAGACATTGAAAACCTATTTGAAGAAATAATGACAGAAAACTTCCCCTACCTGGTGAAAGAAATAGACTTACTAGTCCAGGAAGCGCAGAGAACCCCAAACAAGAGGAACCCAAAGAGGACCACACCAAAACATATCATAATTAATATGCCAAGGGCTAAAGACAAAGAGAGAATCTTAAAAGCAGCAAGAGAAAAGCAATTAGTTACCTACAAGGGAATGCCCATATGACTATCAGCTGATTTCTCAACAGAAACTATGCAGGCCAGAAGGGAGTGGCAAGAAATATTCAAAGAGATGAATAACAAGGACCTACAACTGAGATTACTCTACCCAGCAAAGCTATCATTTAGAATTGAAGGTCAGATAAAGAGCTTCACAGACAAGAAAAAGCTAAAGGAGTTCATCACCAGCAAACCAGTATTATATGAAACTAGAGGCCTGGTGCACAAATTCGTGCATGGGTGGGGTTCCTCAGCCTGGCTGGCAATCAAGGCCTATGGGGGGGGGGGGGCGGCCCGCCAAAAAGAAGGACCCCGAGAGGTTGGCCAGCCAGCCCCCCCCCCAATCGGGGCCAATGCAGGGGCCAGCCGGGGAGAGGGGCCACGGGAGGTTGGCCAACAGGGCGGAGGGGCCACGGGAGGTTTGCTGGCTGGCCACGGGGAGGGGCTGAAGGAGGTTGGCCAGCCAGGGGGAGGTGCCGCGGGAGGTTGGCTGTGGGAGTGCACTGACTACCAGGGGGCAGCTCCTGCGTAGTGATGATTCTCAGAAGGAAGGAGGGTGGGGAGGGTGGGAAGAGATTAAACAAAGATCTTATATGCATGACATTCGTGCACTGGGGAGGGGGTTCCATCAGCCTGGCCTGCCCCCTCTCACAGTCCAAGACCCCTCGGGAGTCCTTAGCACTGCCTGGGAGGCAGGAGAGGCTCCCGCCACCACCGCTGCACTTGCCAGCCATGAGCCCGGCTTCTGGCTGAGCAGCACTCCCCCCTGTGGGGGCACACTAACCACCAGGGGGCAGCTCCTGCGTTGAGCATCTGCCCCCTGGTAGTCAGTGTGTGTCATAGCGACCAGTCATTCTGCCATTTGGTTGATTTGCATATTAGCCTTTTATTATATAGGACATGCATTACCTATGGACACAGACATTGGGTGCTGAAGGCCTGGGGCAGGGCAGGAACTGGGTGGAGGAGGGCAAAAGGGGGAATAATCTCAACAATAAAGATTTTTTAATGCAATATTGAAAAAAAAAAAAAACTAGTCAAAGAACAAAGGGGCCTTCCAAGCACACAAAAAAAACAGCACATTAGGAGGAAAAAAAATGGCAAAATCCAGTCAGCTCAAGGAAGATGCCCAAGCCAACAGCTCAGAGGTAGCTCACCTGCCTGGCAGAGAGAGGATCTGAGAGGATAAGAGTGTCAGATGGGGCCAAAGAGGGTAGGGGAGAGAGAATTTGTTTGTGGCGGGGGGGGGGGGGGGGGGCCTTCCGGAGGTTAAAAAAGGCCCCCAAGGGGAAGGTAGAAACCAAGTAAAAAAAGGGGTCCTGGAGGGGAGGAGGGGTTTTGGATGGGACCCTTTTGTTAAAATTCTGACAAAATGCAAGGGATGGAAAAATGGGGACAAAGTTGGAATTGGGGGACACCAAAAAAAAAATAAAG